CCAAAGTCTGGCCCCGAACCATTTCTAACAATCAAAAGAGCTAAATAGTCAAATTTTGGGTGAAGGAGTTCTAAGACCAACTCCAATGCAAGCCCCCAAATTTGGGGATCTTCATCCCCAAATTTGGGGTTCATTCCTATTTTCTCTTCTTTTATTCCAATGCTACGCCCTCTATATTTGGAGATTTCCATTTTTTAAGTTTTCCATTTACTTAAAAATGTACTTATCGAAGCCTTAATATAATTTGTTCATGTTAATTTTTGTATAGTTCGTCATCATTTTTAAATACAAATTTTCTAGTAGAAATTTGTTTAATTTTGAGACCAAATTTTTGTTGACAAAAAATGATTGACCTAATTTAGGTTTACACACAACACTTGAAAATTATTGATATAATTAAACCCCTAACTAATCCCCTAATTAAACCCCCTTAATATCTTAAAAAGAAAAAAAAAACGCCACGTGGCGGGCTTTGGGGAGTCTCTATATTTAGGGGAACCCCCATATCCACCCCCAAATTTGGGGATCCTTTTGGAGATCTCCCCCAAACATAGAGACTCCTCCACTTATGGAGGCTCCATTGGAGCCAACTTTCCCCAAATATAGAGGCTCTCCCATTTATAGAGGCTCAATTAGAGTTAGCCTAAATCTGGCACTGAAGTCTGATGACTACAAAGGGTGCTAGACCACAGGGGCGGAGCTAGGTGGGCCTTAGGGCCCCCCAAAATTTTTAAATCACCTACAAAATTTATCGAACTTAGGATAAATTACGTATAAAATGAAGGTTGTTTAATAAATATATGTCGCGTACAATTATAGAAAATGGATCTGAAGGCATTCTAGCAAAAATGACACTGCATGTTTCTCTAATTAACCTGAGTTCGAGTTTGGAGGAAGGTAAAATTTTACGTTTTTGAAAACTTGTTATAGCTTTAATGTTTTTTTTTTTTTACAATAAGCTTTAATGTGATGTAACCGAAGGCAATAACTTACATAGTTTGTAATTACATGTGAAGTGCTTTGAAAGTAGTTCAAGTAACTTCTTCAACTTTTAAATTCTTATTTTTAAAGAATCTCTTAGTTATATATTAGTCATTGCATTTAATCATATAACTTTCTTAATTTGTGTTTATAAGTCATGTGACTTCAAAATAGATCAAGTAATTTCATCTAAATTCTTATTTCTAATAAATATTTTATTTATATATTGGTTATTTCATTTTGTTAAACAATAATACTTGTGAACATTCATTTTTCAGTTATAAAAATACAGAGAAACATACTAGACGGTAATATGCATGATTAATTTTTTGCTCATAGTTTTCCTTGTGTCCAGTGGCGGAGCCACAGCAGCCTAAGGTGGGTCGGCTGCACCACCTTGGGTTTGCAACTCACATGCAAATATTAGTAATAAGTTGTGAAGAGGGTTATCGAACTACTTATTAGAATTTATTAATAGTTATCGGAAGTTGTACAAGAAAAGTTAGTGATAGGATATCTTATGCTGAAATTGTGGTTTAATCGTGGTTCAATTGTTTTATACGCTAAATATCACCTATAAATTTAGCCTTTAGTAGGAGGTTTTTTTGTCGAACCGCTAATACAGTACGATTTTCCAATCCTTGGAATTTATGAACAAGTTCAGCTACGAGCCATTTATTTTATGTTTTAACATCCAATTTAGTTTAGTTTACATGAACAAAGAAACACGACCTCACCTGTCTTTTGTTACTCATCCCAATCCCTAATACAACATCGCCCAAAATTATCACTAACCTACTTTCTTCTACTCACATACCACAATTTCGGAATTCCCACAAAGCACAACCTCAATCCAATAACTCTGTCAGCCGTAGACTGCTCGTTGCTCTTGTCGTTCGATGTTCACTATCATATTCACCATTTGTTTAACAACAAGAAAATCTTATATTGCTTCTAAGAAAATGCCGATTGTGATGTGAAGGCATTCCACGACATTTGGGTTACGTTGTCGACAGTCGCTTGCACTTGTCGTTCACACTGACATATATCATTGTTCGACCCACCTTAACAAAATTTCTGGCTACGCCACTGCTTGTGTCATTGTAATAATAGAAAATAAATTATTAATTTTTCTTATAATAATTTTTTGTTTTTTTTTTTAGTTATACGCTAAATAGCTCTGGCCCCCGATCGTCAAATCCTGGCTCCGCCCCTGCTAAACCACCCGGTCCGGTCCCCATATTTCACTATGCAAGATGTACCAGAGGAAGGGCTTGGACGCAATCACTGGCTGAGAAGGAGGCCGACCTTGTGTTTGGAATCCTCACGCGTCTCGCGCAACTCTTCCTCCCTCAGAGCATTTGTTGTCCCTTTTTCCTTCCCTATCTTCCTTTTAATCACATTCTTATTTATATGTACCTGTAGAAGAAAGAATCCATTAATATGTGCCCTCTTCTTATCGTGTTAATTAATTGAATGAATTAACTCATTAAAGGTACTTAATCCATTAGTGGCTCAAATGTAAGAATGGACTTTTTTCATCACCTTTCTATATTAAATAATCATGGATTTTGGATATGTTTTCTACATAAAATTATCCAAATTTTAGTCATTGATAATGTTATATTTAGTGGCGAGTAAAAAAATTATATCTAAGTTGGATAAGCAAATGATGATACAACTCCGTTTGAACCAGTTATTGTGTTTTATGTCATGTTCAATGAAATTTTTTTTATGTCCGAATAAAAAAACAATTACATCAAAAAAATTGTTTTATTTAATTATTACTACTTATATAAAAATAATCTACAAACTATTTAATCAAAAATTATGAAATGTACATTCAACTGCATAATCACATAAACAGCAAGTTTGACACTCTGACACTCTAGAACACTTTATTGGAACAGAACCCACTTTGAAAGTTAACGTACAAAACAAAATCTAACATGTTATTTAGCAATGTATCTCTTCTTTTGTCGGAGATGACGTAACTGACTAACTTATGTTCCTAACATCCCACTTCCTTGGGTAGGGGTGGAGCGGGAGCAAATCCAGTCAGTAACCTTGTGGTGCTATAACCAGGGACGGAGCCAGTAAACTTATAAATACAAGTAGAAGTGAGGTATTACAACAAAGTAGTGGTTTAGCGTAGTGGTATAAAGTGTTAATTGTGAATTTGGCTCTCCCCCACAATTTGTTGTTTATTTTGCTTGAATTTGGCTCCCCCACAACTTTTCCCCTAATTTTCTTTTTAATTTCATAGCTATGTCTTCTGCATGTTCTTAACTTTATTTTCTTGACAAGTCTCTTTGCAAGTAAATTTATTTGAAAATTTAATGTGTTACTTTTTAAAATGGTTAAATCTAGACTAAAAAAGCTTTCTCAATACATCTAGTTCGATTTGTTCGATATATGTAGTTGGCTTTTGGTCACTATGTGAACATGATCATAATTGGGGTTGGTAATTCCAATTATCTTTTAAAAAATGCCAATCTTTGGAATAAGTTTAAATGGGTTTTACATAAAAACCATTGCGAATAATGGATTTTATATTGTTAAGTATTTTCTTCATAACTATATATATGTTGGAAAAACAAAAAAAAATCTTCGGCCCCCCTAATTGAAAATCCTGGCTCCGTCCTTGGCTATAACCCCATGTACAACCCATTAAGAATTCGCAACATCAGCATCTCCTTCTCTCTCATGGAAAAACCTTTAATTTTCCTTTCCTTAGTCTTTAATGAATATTTCTCACTCGTTTTAAGTCGAAATTTAAATTTTTTTGCACAATTAGATCAAATTAATTGTACTCTTCAAAATTATATCCACTTTGATATTTTTTGAAACAAAAATTTTTTGCCAGTTATTACCAGTATATATTATATGATATTGACTGTACCATACGGTATTGACTGGTATTAAATAAGATCATACCATATGGTATGAAAAATACCACCCCATACTAGGGTGGTATAGTATGGTATGAAGTTGGTAACGAGAGTTATGAAATTTTTTTACCCAGAAAATTTTGAAATCCAATAGATTAATGATTAAATCGTTCATTCTGTGCAAAAATTTCTGAAAACGACTAAAAAACTAAGGAGATACCATATGGTATGGAGTTGGTAACGTGAGGTATGAAAAAAAAAATCTCAAAAAATATTGAAAATGGATATCATTTTGTAGAGCACAACGAACTCGTTCCATCTGTGCAAAAAAAAAAAATTTGAAATCCGAGTTAGAATGAAGAAGATATGATCAAATCAAGAAAACTAGGAAAATTAAATTCTTTTAATTCTCTATCCTTAAATCTGCATTCACTTAAAAGAAGGGTTGAGATTTGATTATTCATAGTTATGCACTCTAAAATTATACACCCTAGAGCCGGTGGAGCGATATCTTAATTGGTGCATAAGTTTCTTCAAACCCTACTTCACCAAACATATTTATATTTTTCTGTTTATGGTTCCAGTGTCCTATGACATCAGCATTGTTCTTTCTTGGTCTTGCGTCCCCCACGTATACTCCTCATGACAACAAATTAATGCACCGTTTTATTCGAGTTGTGTGAGCACCTTTTATGAAGGCAAGAAAACCAGCCTACCAAGTACCAACATATGTAGCAGACAGAGTTCATGAGCTGTTTACCCTTATACTACCTACTCTCTACTCTTCTTATCTGAATGCATCGACTCTCTAGGAAAGGTGAAATTCATATTCGAACCAGCTAAAAAATGGAGCTTGACCGTCAATTTCAAAGGCTGAAGGAATTGAATATGAAAAACCTCTATACTCAAATTCTTAGCTTTACCCTGCTTTAATGAACTTGGTGCGGAGGGTGTGAAAGCAATCAGCCGCTAGCAGAGCTCGACCGGTGTCCATTGTGGTTTATAATGACAGACTGACGAGTCTCTTTCAGCTCTAATATGAAACTGTTGTAAGTAAGTCGTCAATTGAGCTCTATTTAACGAAGGTCTCCCACTGCTAATACTAATCTTCTAGACAGAAGAGCCAATCATCAGTCATCACACGGCACGGCTGCCCCAACCCTTACCCAACTGCCTAATTGAAGTTGGAAACAAACAGCTCATCCTCCCCCACCTCCTCATTCAAAGCCTTTGAAAACTGGTTGAATGATTTAATCCCCCAAGTCAAATACTTTTATTGGGAAAGTTGTCCTCTGTTTTTGATCCATCAGAAAGTGCCAGAACCCAGATTACCCTTTTGATGCTAAAACCCAGGAATTATGAATTGATATCCAGGGAAGATAACAAAGCTAGTGTCTTTCCTTTTTCACCTACCTCTTCGGCCCTACCGCCCTGAATTTCCCCGCACAAGCCAGCTGGCTCTGAATTGGGAGCAGAGGTAAAGAAAAGAAAGATAGAGCAGCTTACATAATTACTTTCCCCCCTTGGTTTCGGTGCTGAATCCTTCGTTGGCAGAAAGGGGATTTCTTGTGCTTTTCACTCCCTCTCTCCCTCTCTCTGTAACAAGGACGAGAACGAGGACTCTCACATGGGTTGGCAGCTAGTCATCCCGTATGGGCGCAAGTGAAATATGGATTCTTGTCTCAATAAGAATGATGGGTTCGGCATAAATTCTGCGTCGGTCGTTCCGGGGTTGGATCCATCTATGATTTCAAGTGCTGGGTCGCGTTCTGGTTTCTGAGAGCTCAACTTAGGTGGTTTTGGTATATATAAAGGATTCTAGGTGAGTCGAAGTTCAATGAAAATATATCATCTTTCTCCTTATTGTGCAGCAGCTTCTTATTTTCCATGTTCTGGTGAATGAAAAGATAGGCGCAGTTTGTTAATCCTCTGCTCTATCTTGTATTGTTTTCTGGTTTCACAAAGATTTTTGCCTTGCAATCAGGTGATGATCTAACTTTGGGGGGTTTGACTGGGGGACCATTCTTTCAAACATGATTTACATATTTCACCATTTCAGGCTGCAGATGTTTTTTGCAATATCGAATAGATCCTAGAAATGGAAAGTATGGCTGCAATATGATTATTGCTGTTGAACTGTTCCTGTGGCAAAAGCTTTTCACGTGTTTCTCGTTACATTGAGCTGAGGAAATGACTGGAATCATTCATGACAGGCAGAGTTTGAGAGAATCGGTTGATTGATTCATAGAGGCTAAAGTATGGACAAGAAAGGGGAAATCTCGTTATATAGAGCCAAGTTGGACAAGTCTTTGGCATCTCCTGAACTCACAGATCATGAAGCTCTTAAATCCCTCGTCAGGGATCAAATGCTACAGTCTAGAACCGATGAGAGTGAAGGTTAGGTTTTATCTTAGTTTGCCTTATTTGCTGTTGCATTTCTGAAATGTGAAGGTGTTTCTTGCTGTGCTGCTGATTTCACGCTGAGAAAGCGCTAGTCTAAATTTAGCGGTGTTTTCTGCTGATTCTGTAGCTTGCAGTGAGAATCTGGTGGAGAAAAGAACTGCTGATGTGTCCAACTTTCTTGACATGTTAAGGAGTGCCTCAAGTAGTGGGAAAGAGCCATCCAAAATAAATGAGCCACCATCTGGTGAATGGAAAGTATGGTCTAGATAGCTCACTTGCTTTCAGGTTATTTAACATGTATTTATGACATGGAAAATGAGCTTATTATGTCTTCGGGCGCTTCTTATTTTGTGTTACACAGGTTAAGGACAATAACCAAGAGTACCGCGTTATGTATCGCCCAGGACTTCAGGGCACCCCCTTTCACACATTGCTTGTGGAAGGCTATGTTGATGGTCCTGTCGATGCATGTAAGTTTGTCTGTCTTAGGTATTTGGCCAATAAAAAAAAAAACTTATCTAAAGCACCAGTGATGAACTCGTTCTACTGGAATGGTGTAGGTTTATGCATCGGTTGGGAGTCCACTTTGTACAGGAAATGGTAAGGCGATGTTCTATCTTCTCTTTATATTTTCTGCAAATCCATGTCAGTGGGCTGAATAATGAATGATGCGGTTTGCAGCGTCAAAAAGTTGGTGAAGAAAGGCCCTTGGTGAGGAATGCCTTTTTTCTCTTACTAAAAGTTAGGTGCTAGCTGCTGCGCTACTTGCATCAACTTACCAACTTACTGGTGTATGTTGTTGTTCATTGTGATTTGTTTCTCTTTTTCTGCAGGTGGCCGCAGGTGATTATGCCGCCTTTCAAGATTGCAGTCTGCAAATGCTTAAAAAGGATTCGGATAGGCGAACAGATATCTTTAGTGAGGTAAGCAGCTTCTTGGAAGCCACTTGCTCATTTTGGTTACTTTCATCTGAATCCCGCATCTGATGTACCTCTTTCTTTTTCACACCTCTATCTGAAACATTTTACATGAAAAGGGTGAAGGTTGCCTGGCCGCTGCAAGCTAGGGAGGTTGTAATTCACTATGTCTTATTTGAGTACCCCAAGGAGGGGGTAATTATCGTTCTTATGAATACGGTAATCATCTCAATTTCTGGGAGTCAAGTTGATTGTAGATGGAACTAAAAGATTGGGAAACTTAGGCCTTGCAAAAATTGGTTTCAGGTCCCTGACTTGGAGGCCATTGATATAAATACCCATGGTTATACCAAGGATGGAATACCTGAAGCTCAAGATGTGGTAAGAGCGGAATTGGTTGGTGGCTTTGCTTTACAGAAGGTTACCCCAACAAGAAGTTACTTCCGGTGAGTTTTTTTTTTTTTTTTTTTTTTTGCTGTTTCCAGGATTCACTAATATGAAAATCTTTGAAAACAGACTACGTTTATAAGGAGTGAAAAAAGGACTCTTCTTTTCTTAGTTATTCAACTTGAACTTCTTTGTTCAACGCTCGGTCCGACTACCTCGAACTTGAATGAAGTTCCACATTGGTGCTAGCTCAATATCTAATTATTTTGTCTCAACGATTCGCTGTAAGATCTGTGTTTTCTGTTGTTCATAATTTGTGCTACCATGACCTTCCTGCAGGACTATAGCTACTGTGGACCTGAAGATTGACTTCGTTCCTCCAGCTCTCATAAATTTTATCTCAAGACAGCTCATTGGGAGTGGTTTCAAGCTTTATCAGAAGGTTGAACAAGTTTTTCCCAGGATGCTTTTCTTTACGTTTGAGTACCTCAACCATCTCCCTATTTCATGAATGAATGTTTGTCACAGGCAGTAACTGCATTATATAAGGATGATGAAGAATACATCCGAGCTTTGGACGATCCATTCTATGTTCGAATGAGAGATGCTATCTATGCAGCCAACAGCCAGCATCAGATCACGGAAGGAAAAGCAAACATTGATGAAGATGATGGAGATGAGTGTTTGCCAGATAGAGCACATGATGTAGCAAAAGAAGAAGTAAATGAGATTGAAGAATACGGGAGTGAAGGAAGCGGCTACCTGTTAGATGGAGATGTAATCAGAAGTGCAGAACAGAGAGTTGAAAGAAGTAATCAATCTGGTGAGAGCATGGAAGAAGATACCGAACCTACGGGGCAATTGCCGAATGTTGACAAAGGTATAATAGGTCAACCCTCTGCCTCAACCATTAAAATTGCAGGAAAGGGTTATATTGCTATAAAACCTGAGGTAAAACAAGCTTTAGAAATTTTAGAGAGGGCCATCTCCATGGTTCGGAAATCTGAATCTAATGCTGTAGTGAGGCCATCATCTACTACTCCTGTAACTAATGAAGAGACCTCCAATCTGGAAAAGGGTGCAGAAGAAAAGGATTCAAATTCTACAAAAAAGGACGATGGGTTGCCTCCAAATGCTGATGATTCCAAGAACGGTTCATCCTGTTCCTATGCCAGGTACTCATATTTATGAACCCCATATCCCAGTTTTCCGAACACGTATTGCTATTGCTTTGATTGATCTATCAGGTTGACTGGATTGCAACTTATCCTATTTCCCGCAGGCATTCGACAAGCTCTGTTACAAGGGAATATAACTATAAGAAAGTAGCACCAGCATCACCAGAACCATTCGTCTCCAATCCTAAGCAAGTTTCGAGTGAGACTGGGAATAATATTGTAGATGAAGCCATAGTAATGGACCAGATTAGGGATGATGAGGATAATAAACTAGCCTCCAGGGACGTCGTAAATGGCATGAACGAAAATGCTTTGCGGAATAAAGAGGGATTGAAGAAGAAGCAGAGACGGTTTGCTTTACCTGGTAGCCGCTTGCAGAGAGGGAAGCAGAAGCAGCAGCATCGGTTGTGTTGCTTTGCTCCTAGTCCTGGGTCAGTAAAGTGATTAATCACCAAGACCTTGACATGGAAGGAACTGAATTAAGTAATTGAGCTCTCTCTGTATACAAGTTTTTCTTTTCTCTCTTTATCTTTAGCCACGATGGAGGATTATAGTTATCAGCAGAGGTTAGGATTTTTGATTGTATGTGTTTATATTATTATTTGTTTCCACGCAAGTTTGCTGTATTAGCCTAGTAGTAATAAGGAGGAGAAAAAGCAGTTCAAAAAAAAAGGAGGAGAAAAAGACAAGAAAACATCGTCAACAATCAACAAGTTTTTCTTCTCCCTTGTATTTTAATTATAATATATTATTATTATTATTATTATTATTATTATTATGTTAATAGGAATACTATTTTGGTTTATTTGGGATTATTATTATTATTATTTCTTGTTAAGGAAGATATTGTTTAACAATTGGGTTAGGATTAGTTTTAGTTGCTCACGAGGGACAAGATTTATACGCTTAGTCTTACAAATGTGTACTTCGTATCTACATTTTGGAATAAATTTTGGAATAATAGTAAATTAATTTCCGACTTGTGAATCAATTATTGGTCAATTGGTATCAGAATTTGGTTTGTCAAAACTAGGAGGGACGCCCCCATAGAAGAACTTGACTTCGTTCACTCTAGAGATGCCCAAGGAGGATGTCAACCAGCAATTCCGAGATTCTGAACCTCGAGCATGGGAGGATGACCTCCAAGTGGAAGTCAGGCAGATGGTGGCAAAGTTTGTGGTGATGACACAACGGATGGAAAGCATCGTCGACCTCATCCACACCCATGGGAAGAGCCTCGCCGTCTTAATCCAAGGCAAGGGTGGAACGAAGAAAGGTGAAGTGAGACGGTTGACCTGATCCATACGAGAAGCTCAAATAACCAGCCACAAAGGAGCAGTGGATGCCGAAGGGGGGACGCGGGAGTATTGAAGCCTAGATGCCACCACCTCCCTTTCCAACTCCTGAGTTGTCTCCACGAAAGGCAAGCCGATTCGTAGGTGAGGAGCATCGTTATCGTGACACGCTAATTCCGATGGTTAGTGGAGCATGGTGAAATCTAGGGGTGGGAAACCTTGAAGACGACAGGAGGAGATCCCCGAGCGTAGGACGACCGAGTGCTAGGACGGGGACAAGGCCAACGGGTCGAGTCAATGGGCCGCCCGAGCCAGTCATGCGCGTGACTCGCTCCGAATATCTGACACGCTAAAACACAACACCAAACTCCGACCAAGTGAAATCGCAGTCCGAAAATGCAATAACAGGCAAGCTATAATTGTCAACCCGGGGTCTAGATCTACTGCCTACTCCGTGAATATCTGTTATCTAGCAAACTAAGTTGAGTGGTTTTGATTTTAATTAAAGCTGTAAGAAAGCAGGAATTTGTTCGGTTTTCTAAAGCAAAGGAAGAGTTACTCGGGAATGAGTCCCCCTAGCTCCTTAGTTAGGTCTCAGTTGTAATTACCCTGGGTTGATTTACTGTTGATTAAACTACGGAAGATCCTAATTTAGCTTGGAATCTCTTAAGCTGACCAAGCCCTCTCAGGCAGGCTGACCGGCAGGCGACCAACCTTCACCGGGATAGACTGCTGAGGCAATAAGCACAGAACTCCACTACTGGAATTGGGTTCCGGTACAAAGCAGTAGATTGATTAACTCTCGTATAACCAATCTACCACTACCGAATGATGAAGCTCTAACAACCTAATCACATTCTATCTATCACAGGTTGCAGCAGAAATCAAGAAAAGATGATCAGACTTCAATTGATTCAATGAATCATGCATCATTCGATTAAAACCAAACAGTTTAACAATCCCAAGTCATTACAATCAAGATCCCTAACACATGGAAATAGGGTTCTTCATACCCAAGTGAGAGAAAGTTCTACTCCGTAGAGAGAGAGAGAGAGAGGGAAACAGAATACAAAGCAGTCATACTCATAATAATGGGAAGAATCTGCTCTGGGATATCAATCTTCACTCCTGTGATGATCTCCAAGCTCGATTGAAGAAACCCAGCTCCAAAATCACCTCTAGGATGTGTTCTTCGCACTTTCTCTCTCCAGGGCTCTGTTTTTGCTCCCAAAAAGTCGATTCTCACACTTTTGGCCCGAAATTGGGTTAAAACCCAGAAATTCCCGACCACGCGGCCAGACCACACGACCGTGTCGAAATCCCAGCTGCCCGGGTGGCTCTCAAAACACAGAGTTTCGATTAAGTGACTTCCAGGCATGCTGCACGGCCAAAACCACACGGTCGTGTTGATTTCCAGGCTGCCCGTGTGAGCTCCCTGGACTTTCCACACGGCCACAAAGGGTCCCCTACACGGCCAGTGTGGCTTGCCCGTGCAAAATGGTGCCACACGGCCAAGTCACACGGCCGTGTGGGATTTTAGGCGTGCCCGTGTGGCTTCTTCAGCTTCTTGCCAAACGTCCAATCTTCGTCCAATCGACCCCAAACTCGTTCCCATACCTTCATTCATGTACTAGGACCTGAAATATCACAAACAAGAACAACCTAGCATGAAATCGGCCTAAAACACGAGAAATAAGACTCAAACGGTGTAAGAATGGTGGACAAAAACATGTGTATATATCAAGTCATCAATATCACACTTAAATCCCACCAAAGGCTCAAGTATAAACCTTAAATGGGTGCAATATAGGGCAAGTATGTTTAAATATCAACCCGGGACGGTCCATGTACCCCTACTTCAATTGTTTGAAACATTATCTAACGGAATGAGGTTTGAAATAATCTTTACAATCTATGATTAAAAATGCAAGGCTTGAAAAGTAAAAGGGGTTGAAACTCTTGGTGAGAAGCTTCACTTGGGAGTTGTTTTCCCCTAACTAACTACCATGAACTATGGGATCGAATGAATTGGAGTGCGACAAGGCGATTGCGAACTAAAGGAGGAGCAACAGTGGTTGGAAACCATACTCTCAATCGCTAGGCCAAGGAATGCATTATAGGCTACGAAAGAAGCCCTCTCGGCCCAAGCAAAAGAGGGTTGACTTACCTTCTCCCTCAAACCAGGGTTTGGACGGCTTAATCACAATTAACCAAGATGTCTAACTTGAGTTTAGAGGTTTGTCTTACATTAACCTAGTTAGGAGGCATGGAATGCCTAAGAAAACCCAGCTCAATTTGAGCCTCTTAAGGAAAGAGGGCTTCTCTCTAAGCTAGCTTAGGGTTGCACAATAGATTGACAAGCACACAAAATGCACAATCATCATGAACAATAACTCAAAACTTTAAATTAAACATCACTCACACACAATCATTCAATCCACACAATCAACTACATGGTAGAAGTTAGGGTTCCACAACACCCAAGTGAATAGGAGACTAATCCATGCTAGAAGAAGGAAGAACACAAAGAAAAAAGGAAAAAACCATCATTGTGATGCCTCAAACCTTCCTTGTGCTTGTAGAGATCCTTCCTTGATGAGGAACTTCCCAATTCTTGAGTTGGAGCAAACCCGAGCCTCTTCTCCTCTTGGTTCGTGACTTTCTCTCTCTAGGGTTTCAAGAAGAAGAAGGTTTCTCTCACTTTGGGTTCCTCTCTTCTTCTTCCTTTCAGCTCTCCTTTTATACACTGATCGAGCTCAGTTCGCGGTCCCAGTTCACGGTCCTGAAAATCTGGCATGGCCGTGAACACAGCCAAAACGCACCGCTTTCATTTGTTGAGTTAGTGGTCCATGGCTTCAGTAACTTGAGAAGCCTCTTTGGACTCCCTTCAGTTCGCGGTTTGTTGCTTTAGTTCACGGTCCTGGCGACCGTGAACTCACAGCTTGGACCATGAACAGCAGTTGATTCATCCTCTTTGCCCGGTCCTTGCGCCATTTCTTCCAACTTTCGACTCCGGGGTTGGTTACACCTGTTAGACTCTAAAACACATTGACACACATCAAACCTAGCGTAAAACCACCCTTTATGGTGCTCAAATGCCACAAACGTGATAGAACCCGTTTGTAAGATTCTATCGGGAATTGGGATTTAGGGATTAAGAACAGAATTAGGGATTTGAGAAGAGAAAGATAGAGAATCGGCCTAGGCCTTTAGAGGGATTGAGATCGAGAATTGAGAGGATTGGGAGAATAGGGTTTAGGAGAGTTTTCTTAATATTCTTCTTGATTGATTCTAAATAAAACGCAAAGTACATATTTATAATGAAAGACTGGAAAAACCTAATAGACTATCCTAATATGACTCAAACACTTAATAATAAAACCCTCATAATTTTAATAGTAATTACAGAAACCATAGGTTTCTATCATCTCCTCCCCCTTGAGACCAACCTTGCCCTCAAGGTTAACCGACTTGATCGATTTCTTCACCCTATCTCCCGCATAGACTGTGCCTTGTCTCCTCCACTCCTCGCACTTCCTTTTCTTCCAATCGTGCTTCACTACTTGTCTTGGGCTTCTTGCGTTGGCCTTCTTGTGTTGATCAAGAGTGGTAAATTTCATTTCTGAGAGCCCAATTTTTGCCTCTTCAAGCGATCCCCACATCCCTAATCCTTCTTTCGTTGTCATTCTCCTCCGTAATCTTAAGAAACCCAAAGATGCTTCTTTGTACAAAAGTCCATCATTAAGAACCAACCATTTTCTTCTTTCCTTGCCTTGATGTCTCTCTAATTGCTTTTTGGCTCTGCTCTTTTAAAAGCCCACCTGCCCACTCATTAAACCAACCATTTTCTTCATCCAACCCATGTTCTTCAAAGAACAGCCCACCCTGAGCCCAATTCGTTCCATAAGACTCAGCCCACAAAAAAAATCTTTCTCGGCCTACTTCTCCTCAACTCTCGGCCCATCTTCCTCTTGGAACCAGCTCATCCCTTTGTTGTTCAGGTTTAGCTCATCGTAGGGTTCTTGCTTGGCCCAAGTCTCTGGTCAAACCCATCTGTTCACACTCGACCCAAGTTGAGTTTGTCGGCCCATCGCCATCTGTTCTTGCCCGAGTGTTGGCCGCTGCGAGGGTTTGCACAAAAGAGACGAGACGCTGTCCTCCATCTCCTTCATCGTGCCACCCTTCCTTACTTCCTTTGTCGGCGACTCGCACAGAGGTTGTCCACCTCCGTCTTTCTTCTCCTTCTCCGTCAACGTCACGTCGGAGCCGCAGATCGTGAAATCGCATGTGTGATTCGCCCTTCAAGGGAAGTCACCGAGGATCGCGGGTCTCCTCGCACGATTCTCGTGTCTATTGGCTCGATTCCCAACTCCGACGTCACCTCCTTCTTCGGCGGCTCCTTCTCCTCCTTAGTTTTGGTCATCGGCGCTTCCCTCCTCGGCGACACGCAAGGAGGC